CTCAAGCTCCTTGCTAGCTATTTCCTCTGCTGTTAGACCCTCCTGAAAAAAATTGGCCAGCGAGAGGAGTTAAACTATGAGAGTTTAGGGCAGTTTCATTTTTAGCCATTAATTTTTAAATTGATTTCATTTTAGTCACTGAATTTTATGGTGAATTTCATCCAGAGTCTTTGGATCTACTTTAGTGAAATCTTAATTGGGTTAGTATAAATGAATTAATGAATATAGTACAGAACTTGCAATATTTGTTCCATTTCACATTTAAATAACTGCAATAGTTTTGTTTTCATTTACAGATCTGTGTTTTTTTATACTAATCTTAGGAAGATCTATATTGTGATTTTTTTTCTTTTTTTTAGATATGGATCCAATTCTAGAAGAAGCCGGTGAAGCAATTCCATTAGAAGATGACAGGTTACAACACGAGATATTGCTCCATTTTTTATCAAATGATAGGTTAGTACTCTTGTACTTATTTTGATATTATTGTTTGTAAAAGTTTGAGTGGAGTTCCTATTGCTAGATGCTAACTTGATCCTATTTTTTTGTCTTTTTGTTTATAAGTCGAATTGTAGACATATACGAATGTAATTTAACATTTAACGTTAGTAGTTCTCGTTTAAATTTATATGTTAATGCGTTTTAAACATATTACTATAATATCGATAAGTAAACCTTAGATTAAAACCGAACCAAACCGCAAATAATGGTTTGGTTTGGTTTGGTTTGTAAAATAAAATGGTTTGATTTGGTTTGAAAAAATTCCAAACCGCATTAAATGGTTTGAGTTGAAAATATACCCCAAACCGCCCAAACCGAACCGTGTTCACCCCTACTTTAAAATGAGAAACAAATACTTTTTCATAATTTTTTTTTTACTTATATTTAAAAATAAAAGGACAAATTTCATCTTAACGAATTTTTTGGATAGATTATATCGTCAGAGACAAGTTGTGATAATTTGAGAATAAGAATGCCATAAGTAATGTGAAAAATATTAATGTGATAATCAAA